AATTTTACAAAAAAAAAATTGTCCCCAAATATTGAAAACATGTACTAGATAACGACCCAAGCACAATCCCGCATATCATCACCCACTACTTACATAATCCCTAATTTCCCCACCCCAGTTTTTCCACTGGCCACCCACTCACTCAACCTTCCTGCAAAGCACACACGACAGTCATCGTTCCGCCGTCTACTGAATCACAAGATTCACAATTCAGCGAATCAGCGATGCCGCCGATCTCCTACCTTTGCTCTTGCGGCAGCTCTCAAGGTAAGGACCCCTTCCCCAAAAGAAATCATTCTACTACCATATAATAAGTTTAAGAAGAACAGTTTTAGAAGGTACCTTGCATCGGTCAGTTGCCGGTATATTAACTCGGCCTAAGGAATTCCATACAGTCTCCTCAAAATCAATCATCCGCAAATATTTCAGACTTCGAATTTGATCAGCCGATGTAACATCTTCCAACTTATTACTGTTAGAAAAACACAGCAAAGCCAATGATTCGACGGTAAGATTTTGGAAGGGAAACAAATTACATTACATTTTTTCTCAAGAAATTTGCTTCTGCTCTTGAATTTTTTAGAAATGTTTTGAGGGAAGAAAACTTACGATCCAATATAATTCAGAATTAGGAAGGCCTTCCGGAATTCGAGCTCGCCTAGAGCCTCTAATTGTGGGCTGAATCTCTCTTCCCTTTCTGCTATTGAGGTCACCTTAGGCGGAGAGGGCGGAGACCCTCTCTGTTGCCCACCAACCGGAGAGGTAGTTCCCTCTTCTGAAGAAAACAGAAAGGAGATTTTTTGAAAAAAAATTAGAGAAGGGGAGAAGGAAACCCAAACTGCAAAGGAGTTTCTCCAAACCTGGGGCATACACACGAGATCCTGTACTGCGATTTTGAGAGGGTTGCTGCCGTGGAGAGACGAAAGGACTTTGTGGTGAAGGATTGGCAGGGAGGTAGTGTCTCTGCTGCTGCTGAACTGGAGTGTCATCTCCGCCTAAAGAAACCGAATCCGGACGGTGAATTCGCCTCAAAAACAAAAACTGATAAGTAAACATACTAACATGAAAAAAATCTTAATATATAGAGCCTAACCTTGGGAATCCATCAGCGGAACGGGTTTGGTGACGGGGCTGTGACTGGAGGGGGAAGGGTGATTTGTCAGCGAGCCTCCGTTGGAAAGGTGGTAGTGATCTACTTTCCAGATAACAAATCTAGTGAATGTTTTCTTAATCTTCGTCTGCGCAATATGATTTAGAATGCTGAGACCAACTGGTTCCGGAACTGAAGCTAGCTTCCGCCTGGCCTCCAACTCGAGCGGTGCCTGGTTTTGGTCGAGACATATTTGTTGAATCAATCTTTCCATCGATTGTGGCAGAGGCACGAGTAGTGCAGAATCACCGGTGTTCATTGCTGGTTCAAAATCTCCTGCTCCGATTAGGCGTTGTTGTGATGTCTGATTCTTGGGTTTTTGAGAGGAGAAGTGTGGATCACAGTAGGAGGTGAGGGAAAATGGGGTTTCAAATTCTGCGACGGCCGGAAATGGAGTGGGAACTGGGAAGCTTCCTCTTGCTTGGAAATGTGGATTTTTGTTTCGCGCTTTGGAAATGAATAAAAGAAAAAGGGATGGTGTATCTTTTCTCTTATTTTATTTTATAGGATGAG